TTTGTAGTCCTTCCAAGGACCACAACATACAACATGAACATGTTGGATGATGAAGAGACCTTTCACGCCACGCGTTAAGGGTTTACTTATTTGAGTGACATCGAATGGGGTGCGGTAGAACGAATGAGTTCTACTGTAGGCGAGTTCGCCATTAGCGCCATGTTGGAGTCTCTAGACAGAGACCAACAACATGCCGCTATAGCCAAGTTCATCCAAAGTGAACTTGTCGCCGAAAGGGAGAAAGTAGCCTTGCTTTACCAGCAAGGCTCTCAACAGGCCGAGCAGTTGAGAGAACTCGGTGCTCAACAGACAGAGCTGATTAGACAGCAGCAATTCCATGCTGCTGTGGGCGGGACGGCACATGCGCGTCGTCCCGAAGTCATGAAAGTTGACATCGCCAAGTACAGTGGAGTCCCGGAGGACTCCCTGTTGCTATGGTTTGTCGAACACGACAGAGCCTTGAGGGCTCGTCGCATCGAAGATGAGCAAATAAAACTCACATTTGCTCAGACCCACTTGGCAGGGCGTGCCAAAACTTGGTCCCGGGGACTCGAGAGTGGCGACCCAAATGCTTTTTAGTCGCTCGAATTCTTCAAGGCTCGGCTGAAACAGACGTTTGAAACGCCTCAGGCTGAGTTCAGGGCTCGATCTAAGCTCCTGAAACTCAAGCAGGGTAAGCGCGATGTGCACGCTTACGCACAACATATACGACTCCTAGCGAGTAGTATGATGGATAACCCAGTCCATGAACACACGTTGATTACGGTGTTCATGCAGGGGCTCGCAGAAGGGCCCGTCAGGAGCCACCTGTTCCGTCTTGAGCTGAATACGCTGGAAGATGCGATATCAGCCGCGGAACAGGAAGACTTTAGCATGAGACAGGCTCATGCTAGCTCAAACTCTTATCTTCCACCGAGACGACAAGAGATCGGAGGTCCAGAACCAATGTACCTCTGCTATGTTGAGAGCGAGGTCCTCGATCTTCAAGCAACAAGCGATTGCAGAGGTGCAATCGCTGTCAGAAGTTAGGGCACTACGCATACGAGTGTAGTGCTCCACGCCCAGTACCAAACAGTACTGAGCGAAACGGACGACCATTCGCCAAAAGGGGCAATTGGCGTGGGTCCAGAGCTGTTGCGAAGCCGCAATAGCGAGACGGACCATCAAAAAATGGTCGGGGTCAGTAGGGGCGGAGCGCCCTACTGATCCAGAAACCCCAAGAGAATTTGCAAATCTCTTGACGAAAGTTGCTCCAGATACACAATCATTGTGTGTCTCTGCACCTGGTGATGACGTTTCGCTCATCACCTTGAAGTTGGAAGCGACAAATGATTTGTCGTTTCGTGCCCTAGTAGACTGTGGGGCGTCGAACAACTTTGTTCGTCGCCAGTCACTAGAGGGTCGTAGGCTCAAGTTCGTTGAGCGCAACATTCCCCTCACAAGGATGACGGTGCGCCTTGCAACAGGCGCATCGATTACCATTGAGAAACGTGTAGTAGGAATCCACTACACGTTAGAGGGCGAACAGTACGATGATGACTTCATCGTACTAGATCTGGACGACAAATTTGATGTCATCCTGGGATTACCTTGGCTCAGAAAGTACGAGCCAAGGGTGAGCTGGCAGCATCGATCCGTCAAGATGCCTGCCGCTTGTTCATCAGATGGCCATCTGATGAACATCTTGGAGCGTCCACAAGCGTGTGGATGTTCTGCGAGTGAGTGCGATGGCCTCACTTGCGGTACGGTCGTTAGCACGACTGCACAAGATCACAGTGTAGTTGATCACTACACTGTGAAGCAAGCTCCCGGCGGCTGTACAGGAGTACAGGCTGCGCCGAAGGTCCACCACTCGAATAATTCGAGTGGACTGGGACGTGGATGTACGCCTAGCGGGCGACATCCTAGAAAGAAGAAACCGGTTGCCCAAAAGCGGCAACACGGATATCCTAGGTCGACTGGAGAGTCGATCGTAGAGGATCGGTCCCTGACTGTGGTTGCACAGCCACAGTCAGAAGACGTCGAGGGAATAAGTCCCCACGTACTTGAGGAAGGAATTCCTCAAGAGTCACTTGCTGAAGGATTAGGTCTTCAGCAACCTGTGGAAAGAAGTTCCCAGGAAGTAACCGAGACGTTGAACGTCTTGGTTAATGACGGATCAAGCGTAGGCGCTTATACGCTTGATCTAATTGTGCCTCCGAAGTTGACTTCGGAGATATCTCAGTTGCCAACGCTAGATCCGAAACGGTTCTTGAGTGATCTGCGTAGTGGCAAAGTTAAGCAGATCTGCATACTCGTCACAGAGGATGAGTATGTGGCCGATATTTGGTCGGCGACAGTATTTGCTGAGAAAGAACGGGTTCTCAGCAGCTCATCGATGGACGAAAGTGTCCTCGATGAGAAGACTCGGACTGAGCGATACACGTCTCAATCCTGGGATTCACTTCAGGCAAATCCTTTGTATAAGGATTTGATCGAATTCAGGGATGTGTTCCCGGAATCCGTACCTTGCGAGTTGCCTAAGGACATAGGCACTCGACACGAGATCGAGCTCAAACCGGGCTCGAAGTACCGTGTCATGAAGCAGTGGCCACTGCCTCGTGAACAAGTACTAGCGATCGACAAGTTCTTTGCCGATCGCTTAGCAGCGGGCCATGTGAGGGAATCAACATCCCCTCACAGCTCTCCGACCTTCTGTGTGCGAAAGGCCACAGGAGGGTGGCGGATAGTGTGCGCATTCAATAATTTGAATGCTGCAACGGTACCGGCTCAGACGCCTATACCGAGGAAGGACGTAATCATAGATGGTATGTCTACGAGTAACATCTTTTCGTCCATGGAACTGATGGATGGGTTCTAACAGATCCTCAGGCGTTATCGGGACATCCCGTACGCATCAGTGAGCACCCCCAGTGGTATGCTGTGGGAGTAGCTAGTGATGCCACATAGACGAAGTAACTCCCCTTCAACGTTCAACAGATGTGTCACCAATCTGTTGAGACCGGTGCAAGATTTTGCACCGAGTTACTTCGACGATGTGTTCTTCCATTGCCGGGCTATGGACGGAAAGACGTACGTTGAAGTTCACACAACTCACGTTCGTCAGGTTCTTCAACTTGTGCGCAAGCATAAGTTGTACGCCAACCTCAAGAAGTGTATATTCGCGGCTAGCGAAATACCACTTCTTGGGTGCATCGTGGGTAAACACGGCGTACGTCCTGATCCCGAAAAGATCAAGGCAATCACCGACTGGCCAGTGCCAGTTGATGTCAAGGGACTAAGGAAGTTCCTTGGTCTAGCGGCGTACTTACAGAAGTACTCGCGCAATTACGTTGAGATGACTGTTCATCTTTCTTGCTTGCTCAAGAAAAATTTTAAGTGGTCATGGAACGCTGAGTGCCAGCGTTCTTTTGAGGGTATCAAGCAAAGCTTGATGCAATCGCCGATCTTGGCGATTGCAGATCAGGATAGACCATTTCATGTGGTCTGTGACGCCAGCGATTTTTCAATCGGCTGCGCTTTATTGCAGTTTGATGCAGATGGCGCGGAGCGCGTCATCTGTTATCAGTCGCGTCAGCTGCAAGCAGCTGAGCGTAATTACCCAGTGCATGACAAGGAACTCCTTGCCATGAAGTACGCACTGGCTAAGTTTCGCGTCTATCTCTTGGGAGATGGACCGTTTGTAGTCTATACGAACCATGCGTCATTACGCACGGCCGTAAACAGCCCACACTTCTCGCAAAGGATGGCGAGGTGGCTACCTTTATTCGCGGAGTATAACTTCTCCGTGGAGTATAAACCAGGACGACTCAATGTCGTCGCTGATGCGCTTTCGCGCCGGCCCGATGTCGAGCCGGACGCATAAATCAACAGTGAGGATAAGCCCACTGTTACGACACTGTCAGTCAGTGTCCCGTCGTCAAGTTTACTTGACTACGTACGAAAGGCATACGCGGAAGATAAGGGTCTTCTGCGATTGATGGATCATCTGGTGAATCCATCCAGTAAATCCATGAGGGATTTACCAGCTTTGTACCGATCCTCATCGGATCGGTATAGTACACGCAAAGGATTGCTGTACTATACAGCTGTTGCCGACGACACGCCTCGTGTCGTCGTACCCGCTCATCATGATTTGCGTTTACGCATCATGTATGAGTGTCACGATGCCCCAACAGGCGGACATCGTGGTAGAGAAAAGACTTACATCACGGTAATTCGTGACTTTTACTGGCCACGCCAGTATCAGTTTGTCCGCAAGTACATACGTGCTTGCGAGGTTTGTCAACGGGTGAAGCCAAGTCCTTCATCCCGTGCGCCATTGCAGCCTCTGCCTGTTCCGACAGAGTGCTGGCAGTCCGTTTCAATGGACTTTGTCTTCGGTTTTCCCGAAGACGCTCACAAGAATAATGATATTCTTGTGTTTGTTGACCGATTCAGCAAGATGGTGCATCTTGCTGCAGTCCCTGAGTCGATCAAGGCTCAAGGTTGTGCGCGTGTCTTTCTAGACACGGTCTTTAGACTCCACGGGTTACCCTGTGAACTCGTATCCGACCGTGACCCTCGGTTCACGGCGGCGTTTTGGCAAACCGTGTTCCGTTCTCTCGGAACACGATTGAAGATGTCTACTTCTGACCATCCCGAAACAGATGGTCAGACGGAACGTGCGAACCGTGTCCTCGAAGAAATCCTTCGAGGATATGTCCCGGATGTGCTGATTTTTTAATCGCTACATCATTTTCGCAAGTATCATCAAATAAATCGATATTCATCTGTGTGGCCTCCATCTTCTGAATCATCGGTCGCATAGTAAAAGTCAATAGTGCTTTATTTATCTTTGGATTTATGAATGTATTTTCTTCTTTTTTCCACCTTGTCGTGCATATTTTATGTTTTCTGATTATTTGGATCACTTATTCTATCCTCTTTTTATTTATCGATGAGTGTTTTTTATTTACCTGTGTGTTTTTTACATGTCCATGCAAATAACGCAGGAAACGATGCTACGAAAGACGGTGCTGGACGTGACTCAGCGCGCGAAGCAGTCACAGGCACTCAAGCAGATCACGGCCTCGTATGAGCACCTTCCACCTCCCTCTGGTCTCAATGTGAGCTGCATCTTGTGGACTGCGGGACGCGAGTTGAAGCCGACAAGGAGCAAAGAAGCGTCGGTTCAGAGCTTCCGAGATCCGTTTGCCAAGGAGCACTTGGACCAAGAGTTGTTTGTCGCGCAACTACACGGGACGCACAATCTCGTACTGAATAAGTTCAGCATCGTGGACGAGCACGTGGTGCTGGCTACTGTCGAGTTTGCCCCGCAGGAGGAGCCGCTGGACGCTGCCGACTTTCGCGCCATGTGGACGGTCATGCACGAACTGGACGCCTTCGCCTTCTTCAACTGCGGCTATGAGAGCGGTGCTAGGTACGAAAAAAGATGCTGCTCAATAGATTGACCCCTGTGTGGGTTGGACACTGACTGACCGGTGTCGTCCTTTGGATTGTAGCCAACCCCATAAACACATGCAACTCATGACATATCGATCGATGAAAGAGATTACTGAACTTGACATGGTACGAGAGCTGCCTGCTTGCTCTATATTGAGTCACTTTAAGCTGTACTAATTCCTTTTATGCCTCTTAGCCGCCGCTGCTGCACTTTATCGCCCAACAGCTGAGCTCGCACTCGACGTCCGAGACTGTCCAGTTACCGGAGCTTCCGTTCTGCCACTTCCTCCATCGTATTGATGTTGCAGATGGTACCGATAGCAAGAGAGCAGCGGCTGACGTGGTCGCTATCTACGACAAGGTTCTCCGCCGAATGAACAGCATGGCGTATCCGAGAGCACTGCAGACTTCATCGTCGCTGTTCGTGTCGTACAACTTGCTGCTCACTTCTTCGTTCCTTTTCATGATCCCTAGGAAAGCTGAAGGTTTCAATGGCATTGAAGTGAACTCGATCGGCTTCATCGGGTCCTTTTTTGTGTCCGACAACAAGCAACGCGCGTACGTGATGGCGTGCGATGGACCTCTGGACCTGCTGCGCCACGTTACGTTTCCGCCTGCACGGGCGGAGCCGAGATAATAAGATCAGACGCTAGAGAGACTGGTAACGTGGCAGCGAACACTCAAGAGGCAAACGGTCACATTTGTTTTCTGCTGCTCGGCGGCACAGCGCCGTATACTATAAAGACTTCACTTCGTCATTAAATAAACAATCACGTGTCTCGATCCGGAGGTAGTAGACGACGTCAGTCGACGCCAGCCATAGACCGGTCCACTGGCGGCACTTACACGCCAATACCCGAGCCAAACGTCTCCAAGGTATGTGCCTTCCAGCCGTCCAGATTCATGTGGCGGTTCTTGCACCGCAACATCAGCTCCATCTGCTGCGAGAACGACTCCTCCACCTCCAGAAACGCCATCACGTCCTGCAAGAACCGGCACTCCGAGTGCCACGATCCTGGCTGCATGCGGTGCAGAATGGCAAAGATAATGTGGAGAAAGTTGTTCATCTCCTGCTGGCGCTTGATCAGGTCGGCCTCGCTCTCGCCGAGACTCAGGAAAGGCATGCGCGTGAACTTGAGTCGTTCGAGAAAGCTCCGCGTGACGTCAAAGGAGCAGCCCTTGATGCCGTCGCATCGACACTTGCCGCTCCGTCCAGACAGCAGCAGCACTGGATCGTGGAGACTCCCGACTCGAGCCAAGAGCGACTTGCGGAAGCGCCGAAAGTCGTCAAACGACCGGGCGACCAGTTGGCACGACTCGCGCTCGTCCGAGAAGGCGCGACGGCCGGGAATGAGCGTCTCCACCGACACGACGAACGACAAGTTCTTGCGCGGCCCTTCAAAGTGCGAGACCGACGCCGACAGCTTCTTCAGAATCTGCACGTCCACGTGATTGTCGGCATGCGGCGCGCGCTCGATGGTAGCGCCGGACGGGCGGGGGCGCGACAGTTCGGCATCGTTGGCGACGGTGGTGCGACGACGCGCGACGGACTGGGGGGACAGCGATGGCTGCAGTGCTGAGACGAGCACGTTCGGCTGGCTCTGAGACTGCTGCATGCGGGCAAACGCACAAGTGACAAGGGGCGAGCACAACGACTGGGTACCTGCCTGCTCTTGCTCGGGCAAGCGCGTGTTTGGCTCCTCGCGTGATCGTGTGTTTGTTAGTTTGTTTGTTTGTTTGTTTGTTTGTTTGTTTGTTTGGTTGTTTGGTCAGTTGGTTGGTTGGTCGATTGTTTGGTCGATTGTTTGGTCCGTTGTCTGGTCCGTTGTTTGTCTGTGCGTTTGTATGCGAACGGGAGATAAAACCGCTACGTGCGACAGATCGCCCAAAGTGGTTCTTGCTTGACCCAGTGGACGTCGGAGAGTGTGCGGGTGGTGTAAGTGGGTCGTAGTGCCAACTTTCTCGGCGCTGCGACACAAGAGGCCAGGGGCGGGTCCAGAAAAAAGAGAACAACCCGTGGCGTTGGAGAGATGACGCAACGACGAAAATGGGCACGCCGGGGCAGAATGGGCACGACGTTGCAGCGACGCCCGTGTCTCAGGACCATACCGCGCCTTTTTTACCAGTAAAAAACAGCAAAATAAAGAGTCATTCTCAGGCAAGATTCGTTTGTCTCGACCGAGGCAACGAGAAGCTCGAGGAACCTGTGCGGTGTACTCAAATCCATATCTCCTCCACGCGCGAGATCACCTGCGTACAGCTGTGGCGCGCCACCACGAGAAGTACGTTGTTGGGTTCACGAAGGCAATCCTGGCGCTCTTTCCCGACGCGCACCGCGCGGGAAACGGCGGCAACGGACCTGCGCCGCGACGCATAATCCGTCGGAGCGCCGCGGGTCTCAGCAGTGCAGTATGCTGCCAGAGTGAGTGGCCTTAGAGCTGTAAGCTGTAAATCAGGCTGCATGCCATCCAGGCGTTCTCGGTGGTGGCGTCTACGACGGCAGCGACACGGCAACAAATGTCGACGATGAATCCGGAGTGTCTCGAGCGCCACTGGCGATTTGAACGGGCGGTTCCATTCGATTTCTGTTTCGGAAGACGTTTTGTGGCCGACTGGTGACTTCTCTACGCTGTCCACACACTGCTTCTCTGAACGCTCCGACCCATTGCCTTTGATTCGCGAAACACCGTTTACGCCGTGGAGAGGTTGAGACGGCGATGCGGGCGACGGGTGTCGTTGGTTGCGCTCGACTTTCCAACGCGCTAGTTTCTAGTGCACACGACTGTTGGAGTTTACGATGGTGACTTGAACTTGCGTCGTTCAAGTCGATCGATACGAATCGCTCAATCGAACTGCCTTCGCCATTACACACGCCCAGACAAGACCCTACTCAGCCTCACGCGGGTGGAAGCCATGACAGCTTCAGCCAATGAAAAGGTGCAGTTTAGCTGCATTTTCCATGCCATCATATACTGCCACGTCGTTGTTCCAACCTATCAAGTTGCGCTTACTCGCGACCGCACGATGCTAGGGATTTGCTTCCCTTCTTCATCCTCGTGCTTCATTCCGCTACTTCTTTTGTGCGCAATCTCTTCCAAGCGCACCCAAATTGCGTGGGTTTGGGACGCGTTAAACATCTCCAACTGAAAGACTACCCATGTCCAACTCTATCTCCACTAGACAAATACATATACAGTCGTCCCTCCACATAAGAACCTCTATAAAGGGTTAAATTCCTGTTTAAGGAACTTCGTGTCCCGGACGAAGCTGCGTCACTTGGTTTTTGTATCCTGACTCTATTTAAGAGCCTTAAGAAATAGGGTACTAAAACAACGCGCACCAACCACCAGTTTCCCTCTATATTGGACTTGCCACAGTCTCGCATTGCCTGCCACTGCACGTTTGGTTCCAATCCACGTTAAACATGTCGTCAAAGCGAACGATTCTGACGATGGAGCAAAAGCGTCCGCTGCAGGTGCACATCACACGCACATCAGGCAGAACTGACGAATCTGTTCTGCTGCCGTTGTAGAGAGCCGAAGGCCGAGCTTTTCCCTGACCCAGTCTTGTATTTGGAACAGTTGCAAGACTGGGTCAGGGAAAGCTCGGCCTTCGGCTCTCTACAACGGCAGCAGAACGGATTCGTCAGGCACCAGCCAACGAGTTACTTGTCACGGGCAGGAAGCGCACTCGAAAGGTGATATTTCCAGCGTTTGAGGCTGCGTTCTTCGCATTTTATCGTCTCAGTGACGACGAAGCGATTCTCACAGACGATCTGCTACTAGAGGAAGGTCAATTAATCCGAGCCGCTAAAAGGATAAGCAATAACGACCTGCGGCTTTCGAATAGGTGGCTGCACAAATTCAAGACTCGACATGGCATCCAGCAGCATGTGCTTCACGGAGAGGCAGACTCAGTTGATCGCGCTCAACTCGCAGTGATTCGAATGGAGCTTAAAGAGCTGATTGGACAATATTATCCACGAAATGTATTTAATTTTGACAAATCAGCTCTCTTCCATCGCCATACCTCCAAACAAGACACTGGCAACGGTCAAGCGCAACGGAAAGAAGTCAGAGAAGGATCGTATTACAGTCGTAATGTGCTGCAACATGACCGGGACCGAGAAGATGGATCTCGGTGTCATAGGCAAGTTGAAGCAACCACGAGCTTTTCGCAAAGCCAACACAAAGCGAAAAAAGTTTTTATACATCAACAACCAAACTGCGTGGCAAAACTGATCAACGTTTGCTGAGTGGATCCGGTATTTCAATGCCAAGATGCACGGGAGGCGAGTGCCTTTCCCGATGGACAACGCGTCGTGTCACTATGACGCCGCTAAATGCTACAATGTCAAGCTGGCATTCCTACCGCCAAATCTGACAGCACACTATTGCAACCGCTCGACGCAGGTAAGTTTGAATGGATGTTCTCTTGACCAGCAATTTATCACGTGTCTTTTTATCTGATAGAAATCATACGGGCATTTAGAGCGCGGTATCGAAAGAAATTTAATCGATGGCTCCTGAATGCAATCCACACATGAATAAACCGAAAGTTGAATATCCTAAAGGCTGTGAGCTTCGCTATATCAAGCTGTAAGGATCTACCCGAGCAAGTGATTCGCAACTGCTGGAGCCAGTGTGCGGTCGTGGGGGCAATAATAATAGCCGATCTCATCCAACTACGCGACTACGAACAAACGCATCAATGGATATGTTGAGGACGAGCTGACCAAGATCATGAAAGGTTGAACTTGCAGCGTCAGTGTCGTCGGTTTCATGGGTGCGGATGACGACGAGTCGGTCGAGTTCGAATCAGACGCGATAGAGCATGAGGCGATTGATAACGGTAACGATGATAACAGTGCCGATGGGGTAACGATTGGACCATCCAAGGATCTAGACTGTTGTCTCCGTCTGTCATCATTTCTTTCGCTTCAGCATGACAGTGATAAATTGACGAAGAAGCTGGCAAGTATCACCGAGAACGTTAGACAGCAGTGCTCGATGAGAAAGACTCAGTGTAACATGGACGCATTTCCTAAAATGGATTCAGATTGACCCTCCATATAAGAGCGTTTTATATAAGGAACGAGGCAAAAAACGCCACACATTTTGGTCCGCTATGTGGAGGGACGACTGTAGTCAGTTGTTTTTGGGTCGAAATTCGTCTTCGTCTCGACAGATGGCTAAACGAAAGCGGTAAATAGCACCGCGTCTTGCGATCAATACAAATATATCATACATATAGGCGACAGTCCTCTCCTCCACACCATTGCTAAACGCTACGCCTTATTGTTTAAATATATACATCAAGAAGTTCGAGCCAAAGTACTGCACTGACGTTAAACAAGTTCGATCCAAGGTGCTGCACTGACGTAAGACAGGTTCGAGCCAAGGGGCTGCACTGACGTTATACAGGCTCGGGCAAAGGGTATGTACTGACGTTATACAGGTTCGAGCGAGGTACGTGCTGCAAAGCTTACTGTTTACCTTCATTTGATCATATCGCCTTATAAAGCAACTGGTCTCAGATTTCTGGATGGAGAATCTTCAGCAAGACAAAGACTGCTCGATTACGAATACCCAGCAGTCGAGGTTGATGGCGACATGCGACCTGACGTGTCGAATATAAGTAGAAAGTATATACTATGCGTGGCCACTACTGGAGCAAAGGACAGTAGCGAAATTGAAGGGTACGGTAGGAAACTTATTCAGCCTAATGAATTAATGTACGTTGCTCATGGTAACGACAGCTCTTTCGAGTCTAACGATTTGGAGAGTGAACTGCAAGACTTCACCGACTCCGATCAATCTGGACAATCCATTTAATGGATAAGTGACTCTGTAATAAGAACATACATGCGCCGGGAAACCTTTCGATATTAGTAGACAGCTGCGTTTAAAACAATGGATTCGTTAAATTAGCTTCTTCTGGTTGTACACATTTTCTCCAGTCCCGTGAATATCATTAGATCCAGGGCGCTTGTTTACATAAATGTTTAAAATAAAAAGTGCACCACAGTGCCTTTGAAACCTAGCACTATCCATTACGTAGGCTCATTATCAGCTTGGGCGCGACGGCGCATCCACACTTGATTCCCATTCCTTCGGTCAATCACGATACACATGTGCCAACATTAGTGTGTAGCTGCATATTGTCATCCTTTTTAGAGACATGCGCGTCGGAAAATAATCACAACACTGTCATGCTGAGTGAAATAGTCGATCAATATCCTTAAATTATTGTCTTGTGATCGCCATTTAGATCCTGGCGTTGTTCACTGACACCTGAACATCAACGAAACCGGTGACGCAGTAGTGTGCAAAAACAAAACGATTGAAATCTTTTTCTGTCAGTAGGTGTGCTCAATCGCGGTAGATCTCATCAACTTTAACATATCGCCCTGAAGTTGTAGAAGAATTGATAAGTTACATGTCAGAGCCAAATTTAGTATGCCGTTGGCGGATCACGGTCCTACCGTATCCCGATGGTTTCGCTTTCGTAGGTCCGAGAAAATTTGTAGGAATGCAGTTGCGGCGGGAGGTGACACATTGAATGTAAGGCTCGGCTATTTGGGGTCTAGTTCGCCTCTTAATGAATCGACAGGGAC